ATGTGCACTTGCATGTATTTGATGAGTACGTTGTTGGATGACGGTGCGCTCTGCGTCGACTCCTCCGGGAGTCGGGACGATGCAGCGGTCCCGTTGAAGTAAATGAGAAGCGCGTATTTTAATGCATTGTGTTAAAGGCTAAAGTCAGAGAAAAAATACATTAGACATCTTTCTGGTTGTTTCTAGACCGGTAGAAAAGCTAAGTCTATGTGTCCTCATAAACACACACACACACCTCTGATAGACACAGAGAACATAATAATATTCTTCCAGTTTAAATCATTTTACGAGACTGCTTGAGTCAATTGATGCCATCTTTGATACTTGTTTCAATACTTCAAAAAGTAATAATGCTTTTCTTTGATTTTACAAATGTTAAATGTTAACCGTGTCTAAACACAAGTCAGGTTTGACTAAAATGGGCAAAGTTTAAATCAGGAACTCTCTGGAGAATGAAGAATATTGATTGAATTATACTTCATAGTTTTCTTTAGATTTTCACTGTGTCTTGTTTTATGGATTACACAAAGATGTTCATGCTGAAGTCGTCGCTTCCTTCACAGGGTTTCAGTACACCAAGTATGGTTGTCGAAAGAAAGGGGACACCAAGATGGTCCATCGGGGATACTGCGACGCCAGCAAGAAGCCGAAACCCATCCGCAGAATGTGCAACCTGCAGGACTGCACACAGCCTCAGTGAGTACAGACTCCACCACGTCTCACAGCAAAGTGCTGATCATAGATTCAAACTGAGATTTAGCTGCAGTCTATTAAGATAAAACGTGTTAAAATGCTTCTGTCAGCATGAGTTGAATATGAATTAGCCTCTCTTCCACTGTAGTGTGTGTGGTAGAGAGTCGGAATAGTGAGAAAATAAGTTTCTAACACCTACAAATCTGTTTTATCAAGATGGAAACTGGCTTACTGGGATTTATGAGCACTTTGTGTTTTGTCTCGTAACTCTTGAGGTGTAAAAGCAATTCCTTTTAGATAATCCAGCAAATTAAATACAAAGAAAAATCAAAGTACTACATCATATTAATGCACACGCATATAGACACGACCATGAAGGAGTCCTGCTCACCGATGTGCAACATTGCCCACAATAGCGTTATCAACCCCAAAATATAAACGGATAGGTACCAAACTATAAGCAACGAAGTCGTTGTCAAATGCATATGGTCTCATGGTGAACAGTTTATTATTATATCACCATTACAAAACCTAAACAGGTTTCACACATTCTCCAAAAAGTGGCATATCATCGTTTCTCTACCTCACAAAAACCTTAAAAACTCTGATAAAGACATGCAACAGTGGAAACTGTTTGGAAAAAAGTGGGCACTTAAAAAAACACATGTAGCAGGTTGTTTGATGAACCATCTGTCAATCAAACTCTTACCATAGCCAGTTGAGAGAAGAGTGGTGCTTGGTGCGTACGCTGACTTACCGATCTTAAACGCATTACTTGAAGCCTGACGAGGTTGATTTTCATGTGGTCTGTGATCTCCCAATCCTTGCGTGATCTCGTGACGTTGCGATAATCCAGCTGCCGTGCGAGGTGAAGACAACTGGTGCTGCAGCAGAACGAGAACTGTAAGTTCGGGGTCATGAAGTGGAACTCATTTTTGCAATTTCACACAAGTCACCCTTGAGCTAAGCCTTTAACAGACTGATTTGATTCAGAGATGCAGGTTAAAATGTTGTTCTCCAGCGACTCTGTACTTCCATAAATATGTTGGGCTTGTGAGAGAGATTAAAGTAGAATAATTAGAATTAAAGCAACGGGAGGCCAAGATGTCCTCACTTTCACACCCTGTTCACACATGCCTCCTCAAAGTAGCAGGTCATTATTCTGCCCAGATTAAACAGTGATTTTCTACCGTTGCTGTACAACGAACTAGTTACCAAAAGATGTTTTTCCACTCTTCATTTTCAAGTCGCATTAGCTCGTTAAGATGAAATCATATTACAGAGGGAAACTGTTAACAGCAATAATCATTTTTGAAGTTATTTGGGAATACCCAGAAACTCTACATCTCACAATTCCCATAATGCATTTCCACAGCATCGCTCATTAGACCCTCATTGCCTTCACCTGTTAAATCACATCTCAGTTAACATTTTGAAACCATTGTTCAGAGCCAGCCCCTTTAATATGATTTATTATTAAAACAACAAACTTATGCAAATAATGTGTTTTGTTTCCCCGATCTCTGAATATGAATGTTGATATTGTTGCCCTGAAGAGCTGCTAACCCTCAGTGTTTAATTAGTTTGGATTTTAATGTGAGTTTTTGGTGTCCCATGACAAATTAAATGCTGAGATTTTCCCACCCTGATAATAATTGAGGGTCTCGAGGCAAGGTAGGCAACTGCCTGAGGCCCCTCATTAAACAGGGCCCCACACACCTACAGTAGAGATTTATTATGATGTTTAGCTGTGAAAATAGTTGCTACTAAATTACTCATTGTTCCCCAAAATAACAAAAATACGCAACTCAGCTGTATATCCTACTACCTATTGTGTGCTTCTACTTCAGAGGAAAACATTTTCGTACTACATTGACTTGATGAAGAAATGTTATTGGTTATGTTGCAGATTCAGAATCAGAAAATATAACAATTAAATGATAATGCATTATTATTCATTAAACTATCCAGCGTCATCTTAGTATTGAAAGCTCCAGCTTGAACAGACTTTAAGGACCTTTAAGTACATTGTGCTTATAATGCCTCTCGTTTACTCTTGAAGTAATCATTTAAATGATTTGATGGACGGTATTGATCATAGTTTTGCTTCAGTACTTTTTCTACCACTGCTAATACCAACGATCCCGTCAGAAACATCAGTGAAATACAGTAAGCGGAGGTCGTTTCCAAATAGGCATATTAATAATAATAATAATACATTTTATTTGTTTTTATTCACTTTAAAAGTTACTTAAAGGCACTTTACATGGTAAAGACAGAAACAATAAAGGCAATAACAATATAAACAAGGCAGAGAGACGACATAACAGTAAGAAACAAAAAGATACAGAACTAGCATCACAGATCCAGGTCTGTATTTCTTTGAGGCAGTTGGTGATGGTGGAGATGTAGAGCTGCGTGTCGTCAGCATAGCAGTGGAAGTGGAGACCAATGGTGGTGTACAATGTTACCAAGGGGGAGCAGGTAGAAGATGAGGAGGAGGGGGCCGAGTACCGACCCTTGGGGGACACCTTGAGAGACTGGGGCTGTGTCAGACTTGAACTTGATTGATACTAATGAACTGTTGGCGGCCGGAGAGGTATGATTTGAACCAATAGAGGGCTGTGCCAGTAATGTGGAGGGAGGACTCGAGACGGGGGAGGAGGATGGAGCGGTTGATGGTGTCAAAGGCTGCACTGAGGTCACACCGGTGAAATATACTCTGCTTCGGGAAGTGAAGATGAGTTTGGTTGTAGAGTGAACTGCAGTTATTGAGCCTGACGTCTGCCCGAGCAGAGCACTTTTTGCGTAATTATCCAAAGTTAATTAATACTGGACATGTCTGGTGTCTGAACTGCACCACATTTAACAAAAGCACTCCTTTGGTTTCCCAGCAATACACCAGCTGAGCGTGAAGTACATCGGATGAGCCGTTCTCCAGATATGCAAAGGAGACAGACACACAGACGGAGATTCCTCACTGTATAGTTAGTGTGAACAACTCTTAACGTAATGGATTCATTAATTCAGTGTTAAGTAGTTCAGATATATTCAGCAGCTATTCCCCTCTGTGCTGCAATTTAGCAGCAGCATTAATTGGGAGTTAAGCTTGTCTCTTAATGTTACTTTTACAACGTCTTTTAGTGACACGACAGATTCAAACCCTCGGAGATCGAGCCAAAGCCGATAAATCTCTAAGCACAGTATTGATTTACACTGTGTAGCCTCAAGTCTGCTGCGCCTGGAGCCGGGGCAGGTCTACTTTCTGTCAATGTATCCCTTCAGTGTGACTTCTTAGGACTGCAATGAGTTGTGACATGAGGGTCCTGTTTTAAATTCGGCCCCAATAATTTAAAAGCGATGGCAACTGGATGAGAGGCGAGATAACGGGAGTGAAAAACAGCATCTCTGGGTGAAAACTATCTTAAGCCGTGTATAGCAGCTGAGCTGGAAACAGCAGCAGGAGTGTGAAAGTAAAAGAAAAAGAAATGTGAGAAAATGAATGTGTCGTCTGAGGTGACGGAGTCTGAATGCAGGGCCGTGACAGAAAAGGCCTGCAGGTGAAAGAAATGGATGCTTCAGCTGAACTGCAGCCAAAATCATCCACCCAAAGCGGCTTCTGTTTAATCAGGCAACTTCATTACTTGGAGATGATGCAACGTAACATGTTGAAGACCTCACATAGTGAGCTAATGTTTACCCGCCGGCTGTTCTGTTGAGCTTTAAACCAAAAAGCGAGCGATGTAAAGCTGCTGTGATCGGACGCTGGATGAAGCATTCACTCCCTGCTGTTGGTTGTGTTTCTCTCTTAATTAAGGTCTGATTGACTTCTTTTTGGGATGCTCTCCATTTAGACAAAAAAGTAAATAACTCAAGGGTAGGACTCTGTCTGTTTCCTTTTCACAGAGTGTAGAAAAAGTTGGATACAAAAACAACCATGCCTTGTGCATCTTAATGGACAAGCTTAACTTTAAAAGTAGTGTGCATGAGACTCTTTTGCCTTTTAGCAGCCAGCTGCAGGGCTCTAGAGACTGAAATATCCCAGAAGCTATTAAGTTGGATCGCCATGACATATTGTCCAGACGTTCAGGGTCCCCAGAGGATGAATCGCACAGACTTCAATGATCCCCCTGAGTATTCTTTTAGAGCCACCAGCAGCTCAAACTGCTTCATCAACTGGACGAATTGGCACAAAATGTGGCACATTGGCCTCCAGACGGTGACGTGTGTGGTGACACCCATTTAAGTGAAATATCTCCACAACTATGGGATGGATTGCCATGAAATTTGTTACAGACATTCCTGTTCCTCTGAGGATGAATTGTAAAAAAAAAACGTACGTGATTCCTCAGTGTCTCATTCAGCGCCATCATCAGGTTATTTGTCCAACACTTTGCAGGTATTTGGTCATAAATCACCTCTAATGACTCTCCCATCAGCCTTAGCTTGTGTTTTATGCTAAATAAAGAATGTTACCAAGCTAAGACTCTAAACTAAGATGATGAACATTATACTGTATCTGCTAAACATCAGCATGTTAAGATTGTCCTGTTAGCATGTTAGCTCACAGCTGCTAGCATGGCTGTAGACTCTTCAGGACAACACACAGTATGACACACAGGGATATACTGGGACTGAAATTCACACAGAGACTTTGAGATGGTGACACGATCATCTGGTGGGTGCGAGACAAAAAAACATATTTTTTAATTTTTTAACATGAATATAGTTTTTGTGGTATAAAGAGAATCCAGTGAAATTATAAAATTGACAAATGAAATCTCTATGACCAGGTTAGGCCTGGAGCAGATCGGCCGTTCGGGATTCTTTCTGAACTTCCCGAAGGTCAGTCCACTTCACCATGAACCCACGTCAGAGCACCAGCACCAATTGTTTTCATACATGGACCCGCACGCCGCTGGAGAGTTGAATATGCATCATCACGTGTGTTCTGGATAGTTCATCTACGGAATTTTCCAACATGTCAGCCACCTGGTGACAGTTTGAGGATTGTGGTCTTGGCCAAGTTTTAAAAGACTTTGCTTACAGAAGGGGAATGCACTGCATTTCTTTCCCCCCCCCCCCCCCCACAGAAACATTGGGAAGTAAAAGCTAGTATTTTGGTGCAGATCCAATAATTTTCAACATCAAGAGAGGGCGCATTTTTGCTGTAATAATAATGTTTTTTATGTTCCAATGAACTCCTTTAGTTACTCGAATGGGAGAAAGAAAAAGGTTGGTGTATCGCTATGGCCACTTTTAGGCAGATCTGACCACATAAAACATTTCTAAATATTTTCCTGTTATTGAAGTATAATAAAAGATGAAGAGGATTGGAGGTCTCTGAGGACATTTATTTTCTACCTTTCCTTTGGTGTCTGAGTTGGTCAGTGTGAGGAGACAGACCTTTGAAAATTAAAGGCAAATTCCCTCAATAGCTGGCCGGCTTTTCTTTTCATCATCGCTGGACTCGAGACCTTTGCTTCGTGACTTGACCGGTCTCTCATCCTTTAGTTCAGGAAAAGACTGAAATTTTCGAGCAAAATTGAGAAGATTCTGGCAGAAGAGATGAGAAATGTCAAGGAGGAAATTTGGGAGAGTGTGCCTGAAAAAGATAAGATTACAGTACCGGCGATGTAGAGCAATATCAGGCAGTGAGGTGGAAGGAAAGATGGATATTATGACAGTACATTTGATAGAAACGAGATTAGAAAAAGTGTGTCATTTAAAAGGTGGACTAAAACTTGATATAGTCAGTTTGTGGGGGGAGCTGGAGGAGGAGATCACAGTGGCCTGAAAGAGAGGGGATAAAACTCTGCATAAATAATGTCGCAGATAGTCAAATTATAGCTGATAGTTTCACAGGGAACCTCCTGAAACTGGCCCAAAATGTGGGCCGTCTACGACGATCAGGCTTCAGTATGTTTGTGCTGGTGAAGTTTCTCTCACATTCGTACGGTTTCACTCAGACCGTCACTCTGATAACTTAGAATCTGAGCATCCGAAGATTGAAATCCTTAATCCGGCTAGAAGATTTTGCAAAAAATGTACACTAGAAGTGTATTGTAAAAAAGTGGCCTTAAAGTGTGTAAAGAGTCTATTTACATCTATTTATCTCTGCAAGGAGATAATGAGATCTGCCATGTGTGTGTGTGAGTGAGTGTGCATGTGGGTGAATCTCTGTGTCTGTCCATGGCTAACCCTGCAGACTGCTGCACCAAACTGTTGTTCAAGGACCTCCCCTGGTAAGCAGTGACACACTTTCTCCAAACACCTTTTAATGCCTTGATACTGCCATTGTTTGACTGTTGAATCCACACTCGCTGAATCCTCACTGACTACTCTTAACTGGCCCCCAGGCGATAGGGGCCGCAAGTGATAACACAGCTGAGTGCATCCTCTCCGCTCGGCTGCTGCTCTGCGGCAAGAGACACACAAAGAAATCGCCCAAAAGCCTTTTTTACTTTACTTTTAAATGGCAGCTTTCTATATTGAGCAGTGTGTCTGCACTTTATATGATGTGCGTAGCTTCATGTTCCTCTTTGCTGATGAATGAGTCTCAACTTCTCTGAGAAGTTTGGAAATAGTCTGTTTGCATTCAAAGCGCTCAGGCTTTGTGATTAGCAAACACCTCACTGCTGCATGCTAATTCTATGTAGCAGTAGAAGTAGAATAGTAAGTAATTACTATCCAAAGACAAAGAATGGTGCTTTCAAAGCTGTTCGCGCCTGCTCCTGAATCCCACACTCGATTCTTTGCTGCCCTGCAAAGAAGCCTGAATTCATCTCTAATCATTGTACGTGCTTTGTTCACTGCATTCAAAAGTCTCATATTATTCACCGCCTCAACAGCCTGGATGTCACTGCAGGTCTGTTAACATTGTGAGGGAGTGTTTCTTCTCAAGATTTCAGAAACCATAAAAGTACAAGATACAAAAGTGAAGGGGAAAAAAGCAACATGGAACCCACAAGTACCTCTGAGTGAATAGAGGTGTTTCTTCTGCATAGTATATCTTCAGTTTGACTTTTAAATCTTCACCACAATCCTCCAAGTTCTCATTTAGTTATAATTCCAAACCATATCAGCCATTTTTAGTGTTTATTCTGCTGCTAGATAATCCAAAAAGCAGCTTGTGGAGGACCCAGGGAGAAGCATGCCTGGTGTTTGCCCCAGTCTGTTAGGGAATTGAATTGAAGGATGGAGGTCTGATCAGAGGTTTGGTGGAGGAGATTATCTGTCTGTGTGATGGCTTTACATATTCAGACCTGGAGATCAATCCGCCTCTCACCACACAGCAACGCGGAGAGATTACCGGGTTAGTGAGATGAATCTGTGTTCAACCCTGAGGTTTCTGTCTCGCAGAGATTGCTCACTTTAAACTGGACGAGATGGAGCTCTCGGCTTTAACTGAAACTACAAACTTATCAAGGAGGCAGATCGATACAAATTGATTTGAAGGCATGTTTATGTTTCCTCACAGCAAAACGTTTGGTTGCTTGTTAGAGCTGCAACGATTAGTTGACTAGTTGACATTTTTCAAGCAAAGATATCTAACATTTGCTGCTATTATACTGAATATATTTGGGTTTTGGACTGTTGGGTGAGCAAAGTAAAACATTTAATGACATCAACTTGGGCTCTGGGAAATTGTAATTAACAGAGCAATTAAGCAAGAAAATAATAAGCAAATTAATCAATTTGGCAAAGTCTCCCATGAATGAATCGGACCTCAGCCTCTTTGTTTTGGAAATGAAAACAGTTTTTGCCCTCTGATATCCAAACACACATCTCTTCCTGTCTCTCTCCATATTGCTGTGTTAGATAACTACGTTCAATAAACGGTAAAATGGGGTTTCATGTGACGGGTATGACGTCTAACCTCTCCTTTAATTGGATGTTTTTTTTGTAAACGCCCCTCAGCGCTGGGGGAGTCGTCACACGTTTTAAACCGTTTTGCAGCGAGAAAAAGACGCAATGCAAAAATACTCGGATACAGATTTTTTAAACATATTTGTCACATAACAATAGATAAATGACCAGAGGGGAAACAGAATTAAAACTGGAAAAATGTATTTCTACAGCCATGCTAGCATAGCAGGCTATCGGCTACCTAGACACTGCAGCCCTTTGCGCTAAATGCTAACATCGGCATGCTAACATGCTCACAGTGAAACATGATGTTTAGCACCATGGTCACCATCTAAGTTAACATACTAGCATTTCCGATGGGAATGAAAATATACGGGACAATTTGAAACATTTGACCTGGTGGTGGCACGACGTGTAAAGTCAGTGGGTCTCCAATCTTCCAATTACCCTGAGGGGAACATGGATGTCAGAACCAAAGTACACGCCAATCCATCCAATAGATGTTGAGACTGCAGTATCAGAGGCGATTTGATGTGAGATAAAGTGCTGCAGGCAGCTGGATGACTTTAAGTGTATTTGTTGAACACAACAACATTCAAATGCTTCTGTGCAGCACTGGTGGAGATATCTTCCCTGCTGTGGGGACAGAGAGATCAGAGGACGGAGCACTTAACTTGTTTCATGAAACTGTTCTTCGCAGTGACTAATTTGCATTTTATTTGTTCATTGAATCATGAATTTGAGGACCTGAGAGTCCAAAGAGAGGCTCTGTTTATTCTTTTGGAATGAAGATGTTATTAACTCGTTGATTAACTGAGCTCTTGTCGCCACAGCTGATTGTGATCTTGTGTTCAGGGCTCATTCGCTCCAAGTGAGGCGTCGGCTGTGTTTGTTCGGATTGATTCCTGCTCTTTAGAACGGATGCATCGAACAAATAAGAGCAGAACTCATGATTTAAAAAAAAAATCACAGCAGACATTTTACTGCAGAATGAGAACTTTAACTTTTGATACTTTAAGTACATTTTACAAAGCACTTTTACTCACGTAGGATTATGGATGTAGGACTTTTACTTCCAGTAGAGTCATTTAAAAGCTAAATACTTCTTCCCCCTTAAAAAAAAGTGTATTGGCACTCTTGTACACATTTTGGTGTTTTTACATAATCAGCTAGATCTTCTTCATATCCCCAAGTAATATCTACTCTTTGTTTCATCCAGATGGATCTCGGAGGACTGGGAGCATTGCACCAAAACCTGCGGCAGCCTGGGCTTTCAGATCCGGACCGTTCGCTGCATGCAGTGCCTCAACGATGGCACCAACCGCTCCGTCCACAGCAAGTACTGCAGCGGGGAGAAGCCAGAGAGCCGGAGGCCCTGCAACAGAGTGTCATGTCCTGCACAGTGGAGGACCGGAGCCTGGTCAGAGGTTCAGTACCCACATGATCTATTTGAGAGGGAGAGATGACTCTAATATTAGGATCACTTAGCCACAGATCAATGTGATTGATTTTATGTTTAGTGTCATCTTGCATCCAATTAACTGTCATCTTACTTGCTGCATGCTCGCAATTTTTATGCAGTGTTGCAACACCATTAATGTGCGTGATGTTATTTCTCGACGATATCATGTATAAAGTGAAAAGTGAGCCATCTGATATTTAATTTAGGGCAGTGTCATATCTCATTGGAAAACACGTCAGTTTTAGTTCTCCAATTTCACCAAATGAGACCTTTGAAGCTATCAAAAAATCCAATGAATCAGACGTCCTGCTGTGTGGTGGAGAGCATAAAAGAGCTAATAAGAAGCAATTATTCATGACAGCAGCTGGTGTGAGTTGGTTAGTTTCAGATTTTTTGATATGGCCCATCTGTATGTTGGAATATAGCTGTTTATATGTATGTATACATCCATATGTGTGCACATAATAGTTGAGTAATTTATTTTTATGAAGTAGATGATTGTGACATGTATTCTTGATAAATGATAAGGTAATACAATAAATGAATCGTGAAAATTATCATTTTTTCGCTTCTTGTAGGGTTTGAACTGTATTCATTTTTCTTGCATCAGTCACAAATCTCCTTTGGGCTACAGCTGCACATCATTAACCAGCGTTAGCACTTCTATGCTACGCTAGCGAATAATGACCTACCCGGCTTTACAGGAGCAGTGTTCCTTAATCTCATCGTCTTCTGCCTCAATCTCACAGTGATGTGCTGGTTTACTTTTACACTGTGATCTGTAGCTTTAGCTCTTTAACCTGTTTTCACTGCTGACTCAGTTTGACTTCCTGGAACGCATGTTGTAGACCCTCCTGTCTGATTCTCTCTGAAATCCTTTTTTGTTTTTCCAAAAATTTGATAACATTTTAGCAGGGAGTCCAGTTAGTGACAGTGTGGGCTCCATGGAAGCTCCGAAGGGTCATTTCCCCAGACACGATTTGGGTATTCTTCAAATATCATCGCTGTCGTAATGTGCATTTTGAAGCTGCCTGATTGAGATATAAAACAGAAAACCATAATAAAAAGCAAATAGAGTGAATTGTGAAGTGATTTTTAGGGGCCGGTTAAGAGGAGTAAGAGAGGAGTCAGCTGGCAGTATAAAACAGGCAGTAAAAGGTGTTTTGAGAAAGTGTGAGTCACCTCAACCACAAGAGGTCCTTGAGCCTGCAGCCATGACTGGCCTCCCAAAATATTATGCAGTTTCCTGCAGCAGAATGCAAGATTAGCTGTGGACAGACACAGAGGTGACACACGGACACACGGAACCGATTGCATGATCCTCCTGGCGGAGATCAAACTAAAGTTGAAATGCCCCTTCTCAGACAAACTCCTCAGCCATGTTCACAAAATACCATCCAGAAAAAGTAAAAGAAACAGGCAAAGGATGCTTTGTTTTCAGAGTAAGAGATAGATTTCATTCCCTGCAGATTCCCCTTTGAGGAATCCAGTCTGAAAAGGGGACAAAGGAAAGTCTCCATGCTGATGCTGTTGCCAGGTCTGCTGTGCAGCGAGACAGTTTGATTGTAGGTGGAGATTGAACTTCAACTCGGCTTGTTATCCCTCCCAGTTGGTTTGACTTTTACTGCTGCCTGTGTGACATGACTCCACTTCAAAAAACCGTGATATTCAGCTGCATGTGAGTGAGTTCCTGTAACTGCGCTCTTCCACAGTGCTCTGTGACCTGCGGAGAGGGGATGGAGAGGCGTCTGGTCACATGCCGAATCGGAGATCAATGTAACGGAGAGAAACCGGAAACTGTGAGGTTTTGCAGACCGGGACCCTGCCACGGTGAGCATGTCGTTCATTAAGAGCTGAAGGAAAACAAATACCTACTCTAGTACTTTCTAGAATAGGTATTCTGCAGTTCCTACAGATCAACATATCTCAGCACATTCTCTCCTTCTTCACAATGGTGATCATCAAACTATTCCTTCAAAACAAGAAAATAAATAATAGTTTACTTCTGAAAGCTATTGTTGCAGGTTTTCCTCCTTAACTACAAATCATGTATCGTCCCAACCTTCCATCCTTCAGTTTCCATTCATTTCCACACGGCATTGAAATCAATTGGCAGACCCTCAAAACTTACCAGAGTTGCACGATTCATCACAGTAAATGCCAAGTCTGCATTAATTAGTTTTAAAGTTCTATTGTTGGGTCCTTGATGAAGTTCATAATCAGATTTCTTAAGATATTCTGCCCTTCAGCTCACAACAACAACACAACGGCTGCTTCTGTGATGAATTACTCATTCGTGCAGGTTTCATGACAAACAGAAATGAATGGAAAACAACTAGTGCCTGGAAGGAAGAAAAAATACATATGTACATATTATACAAATGTATAACAGCAGCATAGTTTGCAGAATAGTCATCGGTATAGTATGTGTTTATTTGTAGTGAAGGGACTGACACATGCAGAGTCTCTCTGGTCAACAGAGAGACTGTAACCTTTGAAAAAAACAAAAACAGAAAAACACAATCTTCCTCTTACAAATAAAATGTTGGATTCATTCGCTTCAAACACATTAGTTGAGTACATAGGGGAGTTGTTTAGGGAATTTAAGATAAATATTTCTGTGTACACTTCGCAATTTTAAGACTCATGACTGAATGAATGATCGGCCGTTCGCCGATGATGCTGATCAGCTGGGAACCGTCCGCTTGTGATCGTCAGCTGACTGATCGGTGAATGCCTACTTTAAGCAGCTGACTCGAGTCATTAATTATGGAATTATGCTGTAATTGCCCCTTTTTGCCACAGGGGCTGCTGTTTAAAGAATAAATCAGAATCAGCTTTAAATACAGCTGAATGACATAGTCCTGCTTCAACAGCTCAGTTTATCCTTCTACAATCTTTCCTCGCATTCATTTGAAAAGAAGAGCATCTTCTGTTGATGGTCAGTTAAAATGCTTCATTCTCAAATATCAACGTATACCAATTACTTCATTGAACTCTTCCCATGAAGCATAAATGCCAAGCTGAGTTGCAGCAGAGATAAAAGGATAGATTCGGATGAAGATGTAAAAAACACACTGTTTTCTGCAGTGCTTCAAAGCACATAACGTCCATCTCATATTGATCTGCACTTTATGTTGCCGCTGTAGGATGTTACTGCTCAAGAGCTTTAATGTGGCATTCTGAATATACGGCGAGTAATGATTAAACCACTTCAATACATTCATACCTGTTGTGTATATTGACTGACTGCACTGAGCGTATACTGATGATATGGACCGTTGACGTCCTGAAGCACATTTAGGCCGTAACGAGTGGAAAGAAAAAGAGAAGCAGGATTTTGAAACGGCTCAAATGAAAATTGAAAGTCAGAAACTTTTCCCAACATTTTAGGCTATGCACTAATTGTTAATTATAACTTACTCATTTTAGTAAGTTTACACAATGTAAAACTACACAATTGTCACAGTGAACTGTTTTGTTCTGGTACTTTATGATCACAGAACAACATTCTTCAGTCTGCACACTGCAACTGACGAACAGAGTCCCAGTTTGTGCCTCTCAACCTTTTAGAGACTCCTCTAACATTCTGGATGATAATACATTCTGTCTACTACGATATGATCAAATCTTGTGTGGATTAGGAGTCACAGTCTACAAATTATACAACATTTTTCTTTTCAACCAATTGGTTAGAAAAGTCTTTGAGGATTCTGTAAATACCCTCAGAACATTTGTAGGCCATTTTTCAAACATCTGTAGGTATTTATCTTTTAGAGATACGGATGCTTATGAATGTTTTTAATCTAAATTGAAACGCTGATACGCGATGGGCACAAACTGAGGCCAACTCAAAACCTGCATAGATTAGTATGTACAGCATTATGGAAGTGAGACACAGTTTTATGCTAGCTAGCGTGAGGCTCGATGGCCAGAACATTTATCGTGCCTTGGAAACATCGGCGGTGGCTATGGAGGAGGTTAACATCCAGAATTTAACCACTAAATATCAAACAAATCTGAAACTATTGGGACAGCCCTGATGAAGCTGCCAACGGTTCACAAGGTTTAAGACTGGATCTGTTAACCCCTCACATTGACAGATAATCTGGGCTGAACATCGATACCGACCAAAGGTCCAGACCAGATTTCTACACCCAATTATGATATGTAAAAGATGTTTTTGGTTTTTCTTATGGCACAAACACTTGGCCCTCAGTCTCTGATTAAACCTGCACCACTTCTTCTCATGTGATCTCCTTCCAAGGCCGTCTCTCAGAGCTTTTCACCGCTGTGTGACGCGCACCGACTTAACGTTGAATGCCTTTTTGCCTTTCAGATGAGCCGTGTAACGGGGACAAATCCATCTTCTGCCAAATGGAGGTGCTAGCGCGATACTGCTCTATTCCGGGCTACAACAAACTGTGCTGCGACTCGTGCAGCAAGCGCGGCGGAGCTCTGTCTCTGTTCTCGGAGGCGGCCGAGATCGAGGAGCACGTTCGCTTCGGATCGGCCTCCCAGCTGCTTGAGACGCTGACGGCTTCTGCAGCGGCCAACGCCACTCGCGGCGGCAAACGAGGCCCCGGCAAAGGCGACGTCGCGAGACACGCCGCCACCCCCGCCCTGCTGAAGAAAACCCCACCAAATATCACGGCGGCACCCCGGCGGGTCCCGCGACACATGGGCCTCACTGGCAGGAAACTGCCCGCGATGGCGCCATCTCCCCCAGAAGACTCCACAGAGGGTCAGAGGTCGAGCAGCTCGACAGATAGTCGGCAGCCTACAGCGTACTCTGAAGTGGAGAGATGAGAGTGAGGCCCTTCCCCTTCAGGACTCGTAATGTACAGCAGCTTCATCCTGAGTCTTCTCATGCCAGAAACACCACAGAGATACAAACCGAGAGAAAGAAAGAAAAGTGCTGGTTCACTTTGTTTTTTTTAGTTTTGTTTTGAATTTCCCGTCCCTTCCGCCCCTCATGTTGACTTTTAAAATGAAATCTCACAGGGAGCTCCCAGAGCATATTGTGACTCAAACAGCCGTGTTGCTTTGCTTTCATACATTTGATTGAGAGGAAAAAATAATACAATGCATTCAAACTAAAGGGGGCAAGTGGTCCGAAAACAAGTCAAATCCGTGTCAAATGAAAAGCTTAATGAATCACTTTATCAAATAGGTAAATAACAGGTAAATATAAAAAAATGGCATCTAATTAACTACACTGATCCTAAACTTTTAACGGTAGATGTCACAAAGAAATTGTTGCCTAATTCCAACCAAACCTTTTGATCCCAACGCCTCTTGTAGCTTTCTTTGACGTCGCCTGCAGCGTTAGGTGCAGTTGGGTGTCTGTATTTCCCCTCTGCTTGGTCTTTTCTCTGGCCTGGGGATTTAATGATTTAATAAGGTTCTGCAGAGCTTTGCAGCGGGCCTTCTGGCAAATCCTCAGCAGACGGCAAAATGTCAACAGGTGCAGTCATTAGAGCCGATTCAATTTGGGAAAATGTATGCAGACTGCAGAGATCGAACGCAGGATAGAAATAGACACAGGAATTGGTGCAGAAGTACACCGTTACATTCACCGTGATGTTGTTCTTTATCTAAATCCCAGATGCTTTGGATTTGATTAACATTGCAAAACCACATGTTGCAGCTGATGAAACACCTCGATGTCAAATTTCGTTGACTCTCACCTTTTGAGCTGGGTGGGATGTTTGATTGGCTTTGAATTTGAAGTGGAAAATGATGGGCAAAAAGTTTGGAAGATCATCTCATGCAGCTGAAAATCCCCTTTTTTACTTGAACGTTACAAAATGCCATTTTTCTTGCCAAAAGGATGTAGGTGTGAAGCTTGACTTGCAAAGAATTAAACCTGTCCCAGTATTTGAGGAGTCAAAACACAACAAAAACACCAGACTTTATATGGCCGCTAATGGAAAGTGGCCAAACCAGTGAAAGCCGTTCGGAAAATGGTTTTAGTTGTATAGATTTTTATATATAACCAGCAATGTCTGTTAAATGGCGCTCTACAGGTTCTGTAGAAAATGGGTATTTATAAAGGTTCCTGTAAATACTGTACATGAAAATATCAGTATTATTTTAAGAAGCTGAGGATACTTTCAAAAACCATTTTAACCAATTATAATAAAATATATTATTATTAATATCTAAATGTTTACAGTTTCAGCAGCGGTGTTAAATGGACTTTAATAATGCACCATCTCGCTCTAAATGCTTCTTCTCTGGGGAATGTTTGAAGAAAATAGTTCCACATTTTAAGAAGTACGCTTCTTTGCTCTCTTGCCAGGAGTTAGATTTGAAGATTAATACCACTTTCACATCTGTAAGCTAAATATGAAAGCATCAGCCTGGAGACATTTAGCTTAGCTTAGCATAAAGACTGGAAGCAGGGGGAAACAGCTATCCTGGCTCTGTCCAAAGTACGCCCACCAAGCTCACTAAGTGATGTATAATATATCGTTAGTTTAATCCCTACAAAAAATGTAGTGTAAAAAACGACACAAAGATTTTGTTTGCTTTGGACAGAGCCAGGCTATCGGTTTAGCTAAGCTAAGCTAAATATCTCCCGGCTGTCATGTTTTAACATGCAGACATGAGAGTGGTTTCAATCTTCTCTAACTTTTAGAAAGAAAGTAAATAAGCTCATCTCCCAAAATGTTAAAACTATTCCTTAAGAAAGCATCTTATACATGTTAATTCACCCCAGACTTTACTTTACCTTTGTATGGTGCTAGCCATCCACCTTTTTAACTCTTTGCATTGCTCTCCTTGTGAAAGTTTTTGCTCAGAAAGGTTGAAGTTGTTACGTCAAAGGAGGGAACTAAGTAGGGAACGTTCCTAAAACGGTAAGTTAAATACAGCCGGTGCTTGTTCAGCTTGAAAAAAAACAAAAAAAAAAGTGAAAATGTCACCATGCAACTGAAATGTGTTTGGAAATTTCTACTTTGATGTGACCATGAAAGTGCAAATGCTCATCTTGAAAATGCTGTTCAGTGTTGAATTTGCAGGTTCTTTCCTACAGTGACATTTACTGTTTGAATTTCAACTCACTTAAAGCTGCATTGAGCGTTTTCTGACCACTAGGGGGCAGAAAGACTCCCAAACAAACTCACAGTTGCATATTTACAGATCCAGCATGAAAGAGAGCAACATGAGCGTCCCATTGAATCAAGTTTCTGTCCACTTGATGAATAGAAATCCAACATTCACTCTCCATTTAGTTCCATTTTGGTCTCTACTAACGCCTGAGGGAAATATGTGATAATCTGTTAACATCTTTAGCCTCTAAATGTTCCACTTTTCTAACCAGCTTGCCTATTTCAGCTCTCTGCAGTTTGGTGCTAACATACATGCAGCTGTTAGCTTTTAGCTGGGGGAGCTGACGAGAGCAAAGCAGATGTGCTAAAAGCAGTGCAGCGCTAAAAGCAGTGCAGCGTTTACTCTCGGGGGGTTCAGCACCCTTTCACAGTACAAATTGGATTAAATTTTAATATCAAAAAAACTCGCTTCACATCACATCCATTCAGTCTGAAGGTTTTATTGTACATTTTGTGTTTGCAGGAACAAAGCATCGTTGTAAGCACAAGACGCTAAAAGGATTTTGTTATATTTTAATAATTTTTTTTCCAAAGTATTTCCGAAATGGCTTTTTTTATGGTGGAAGAAGGTTCGGGAGAGAGAAAGCTATTTATTGAAGAAGAAGAAAATCCTCACAACCACCATGCATCTGACTGCAATAGCAAAGACACAGTTTTGTGTTTTCAGCAAAAAAATACAACTATTCACACTCACTCCTGTGTGCCAATGTATAGTACATGTATATAGCATTGAGTACATAAATATTTATTAAGAGTTAACGTTTTTACAGTGTGTGCAGTGCCAATACGCTGCAGCAGATAAACCATTGAATCACATTTATGAACATCTGTCATCCACATTTTCACTTTTGAAATGGATTTCTACTAAAAAAACAAATACCAAAAAAAATCACGATAGGCTAGAAATTACATTGTTTTTTGCAAACAATTAGATGTAAATATACATGCTCAATCTTGAGATGTGTTACTTGTCAGAAAGCTGTCTTTTCACAGCTGTTTTGTAGAAGTTGTTAACAGAGCTGTTACATGACCAGACAAATGCTTTATTTGAAGCAATAAGACATTAATAGTTTAGCACCAGTAAACCAGTAAAGTGTTTCTTTTTATTCTGTTTGTAGATGTCAGTATTGTCTAACCATTTGACATTTCCCTCCCTTGTTCTTTTCACATCCTTTACTTGCTGCCTTTACAACATTGCTGCTAATGTTATACAGAGCTTGTGATGATAAATAGGATATAGTTGTAGATGTTACATTGACAATCCCTGAGCCTCAGACAGATATTACTGCAATGCATTCTCCATGTACTGTATTAATACCCCCTGTGCTAACCGTGCATTTTGCGTATTACCATTGTCATGACTGTCAGTCACTCTCTTCTCTATTCGCTTTTCCTATGTATTTGTGTAGATTGAAGTGTACACTACTGATGCTGTTTGTTGTAATGGGGAGCACATAGCAATAAAAGATATGATTAACTACTCGGATTTCTTGCTTTCAGGCTTTCTACATGAGTAATGCAGCATGAAAGAAAAAAATCTGCTCAATCAATTGATACCAACGTTACAAGACATAAGAGTTTGTGTAAAACGCAGCAGGCTGTTTTCTTTACTGACGACATTATGCCACTCAGTGACGTGATGACGCTATGCTCCTGATTCAGGCAGCGACCCCCGTTTTCTGCTAAGTGAAGCCAATGAGGAAGTGTCTTAAACTTGCATTCTCTATACTGACCATCAGGGGGCGCTAAAATAGTCTGGTTGTGTAGAAGTCGATGAGAGAATGAGCCTACTTCTCCCTTGATTTATTACCTCAGTAAACTGCATCACGTGATGTGATTTACAACGCATGTCATTGGTCGGTGTGTTTCCTGGACCGCTGAACGAAAAGCTGCGCCGGTTAAAATAGAAGCGCTGTGTCAAAATTTAACAATTCTCAATTATCTGTCGGTTTTAGGTCCAGGTCCGGATACAATGGCGTCTGGACCCGGACCACAGTCCGCCTATTAGTGACCTTGTAATTGACAGGTGGCTACCACGTCGTTGTCCTGTCTGGGAGTTTTCCGTGTTTTTGTCTTCGAACTTTAACCCTTTCAGAGTGTATTTTCAGTTCATGAAAGTTAACTGTTACCTTTGTGGTTGCCTTAAATGTCTTATTCAGCATTTGGTTGCACGAAGCTCTACCCTGTCATTTCTGGTTGCAAAAAGACAAGATGGCGACGGCCAAACTCGTGGCTTCAAAACAGCAGTCTGCAAACCAATGGGTGACGTCATAGTGACTGTCCACTTCCTTGTATAATGGCCAGTAGCTTCATGTTTTTTCTAACCCTAACTCAGTGGTTTTGTTGCCTAAACCAAACCATCACCGTTTAACCACCCGGGAACCTTCAGCGTCAAGATGCTACGCTAACAGCTGCGGCCTCTGTTATTGTGTCCCAGCTGCTGAAGATGACGAGTGGAGATGAGATCACGTTGAAACTCTAGCTCCATAAACAAACACGGCATGAGAGTTGTATCGATATTGTCATCTCAGAAACAAGATTATTTTACAAAATACTGAATTAATTCTTTAAGTTAAAACACTAATTTAGTGAGCTCCAAACTAATGCTGAAGCTATGAGGTAGCTTACAGTATGTGCTCAAAGCAAAGGGGGGGTCTACTCTATTGCACAAGATCTACTGAAAAACAGAACAAAACTTATCAAGTGTAATCATTTGAAGGATAAGGCTCAATACTTTACTTCCGTAGCTTGACTCTAATCCATTCACTCATACTTAATGTATTAAACAGCTCACATAGATTTTGTTTTTGAAAGGTTCAATAATCTCCTTAACCAGCTGGGAACTGTTGTCGTTAGAAAATGTGTCCTCAACTGGAGTGAGAAGTGAATTTTTAGGAGGAGGGCAGATTAATACATTATATATTATATATACAATATATTTGGAGCTTTAGTTTCCGGCAGCAGCACGGTACATGTGGGATGAACTCAAAATAAAGTGTGTGTGTTCACGGCGATGAAGGAACATGTCACTCCGTGTAACGTATTGAAGTGTGTGTAATGGTTTTTGGATGGATCAAACATGCAGCTTTATGGCACAGAGGAATAAAAGATGTCAGGCTTTTTGGTCACAGTGACAATATGTGTTAAGCTTAATTCACACGACAGTTTGTGGAGCTCCCGACAAAAAGTGTGTGTGGACTGTTCCAAAGCAGAGAGACGAGAGGCTCGCTGGTGCCTCGCAGTCGCATTTCAGATATTTAGCATGCCATATCTGTTTGCTTAATATGTGTTGCATTTGCAATGCCAATCAAAATTGTTATTGTGGCACCTTGGGTGTTCAGATTCTTTCATGAATAACATAAGACATAACTGAGTGACTGATCTACATAACACATTATCATGTGAACACGTGCCGACAACAACAACAAGCACGACTACAACACGAGTGTGTTTTCGTGACAAAACATAGTTTGGAGATCTCATCAGGGATTACAGATGAAGGGTCTTGTAGTGTGTGACCCCCTAAGTCGCCCGTTATGTAGTGTGAAAACCACAACGACCTCAAGACCCCCGATAACAAGACAAGTGGTGCAGTGTGAACTTTTCTTTTGTTGGATCAATTCATTGATTTTGGTCTTTTTATTTACTCGCAATAAGAAAAGAGCTGAATATTGCCGGCCGTATACTTTAAATAGAAAAGAGGAATGACAGATGTGCAGGAAATGTAAAGTAGAAATTAATTGTTTACTCGTTTTTTCTGTTGACAACGTTATTAGTTTGTTTAATTGCTGCTCTTCACTTTGCTTGTTGTGGCTGCTGCAGCTGCTCGTGGTTACTCTACAAACTGCCTACTGCCTTTACATGAGAGAGAAAAAACAATCATGAACGTGAAGGATTTCATGAAGTCACCACTACACTGTGGCCTTATCAATGTTTAGTCGCGTATGTCGGCAGTAGATAGCAGCAGAGCAGTCGATTCTTGTGAAAATGTCAAACATAATTGGTTATGTTTACTTGGAAGTGTGGACAGACTAGTGACAGACTCTGAGCTAGTGCACCTTTCTGCTCTTCTTTCTTCTTGATTCACTGCCATGTCAGCTGCAGTTGATTAGGAATTTGTGTCAGTGCTCTCGACAACAAAACATGTAATAGGTGTGCCGTACCATTACAGACATTGAGGAAGTGAGCCCACTCTCTATTAACGCTC